TAGCCTTTGACATAGCCATGCCACTCTTTGGCATTTATCCAAAAGAAGTAAAAATATGTGTCAAAAAAGCTTGGACATGAGCATTCCTAGAAGCTGTGTGTAAAACAGACAAAACCAGAAGCAGCCTAAGTGTCCTTCAACAGGAATACGGGTAAGCAGATGTGGCACACACCCAGAGAACACCACCAAGAAACAGGAAGTAAAACTCCTGACACACAGGGCCCAGGGGCCGATCTCACAGAGATGATATACTGACAGATAGAAGCAAGATATAGACAGTATAGACTGTATTATTTCACTCATATTATGCACAGAAAACCAGCAAGCCTGGGGCTGGGGATGTGGCTCAAGCGGTAACGCTCACCTGGCATGCATGGGCGCTGGGTTCGCGATCCTCAGCACCACATAAAAATAAAAATAAAGATGTTGTGTCCACTGAAAAACTGAAAAATAAATATTAAAAAATTCTCTCTCTCTCTTCTCTCTCTTTAAAAAAAAACAGCAGACTAATTTATGGTAATAGAATTCAAAACAGGGTATCTCTGGTGGAAGGAGGGGGTAATCTTGAGGGGAAAGAAACATGGAAGAACTTTCTAGAATGATGGAAATATTCTGTGCTTCGATTGGGGTAAAAATTACAAAGATGCACACATTCATTTTTTTTTTCAAAGCCAACTGAATTGTGCAGTTAAGATCTATTTAAAACCGATTTAAAATTAGATATTATTTTCGAGTGCCAAAGTTGGAGAATTTATTCCTCAATAAATTTTTCAAAGCTGACATGGGAGCAACAAAACATTTACCGTCATACACTGATGGTAAGATAAACAAAAAGATTCAAATGATTTTATTACATTCTAATGCTTTGAAAATGCATAATAGAAATATGATACAAGTTCTTGGTTTTGACTAATGATGATATTGCACTCACCACCCCTTAACAGTGCCAGGAAGCAGAATCCACCTCCCCTCCTCAGAGTTCTGCACTGGAACCTATATTTAGACCTAATATTGAAGGTAGCATTGAATAGAGATGCCACCTTGGCACAATATCAGCTGTCATTTCACACTTCCACACAACCAGAAAGAAGCTGTCTTTGCCTCAAGCAAAGATGAAAAGGACAGGGAAGATGAGACTATTATCTCTGGAAGTCTCTTTAGGACCAAGCAGTCTCTTCTTCAGGAAGTGATTCGTTTCACCACTCAAGAATTCCTTCAACTGCCAGAGAAAAACCTCTATTCCGCAATTACCAAAGCCAGCTCAGGTCCCTTCTTCTCTCCTCCAACAGCTGAGGATAGCCCAAGAGCAACCGTTCAGAGATGGTCACAGAAATGGTTTTTGTGGGTCCTCCAGGGAGTCCACACCCCATCCACGGGCTCAGTTCTGACCACCAGACACTGGAGCCATGAATGAAGAGAGGGTGGCGAGGTCCCTGCGGGTTCTGGCAGTGGCCACAGTGACGGTGCAGGTGAAGCCTCTGGGCATCTGTGCCGCCCAAGGTGACAGCGCCTCTCCAGTCCCTAAAGGGCAGCTCCAGGTGAAAGGTCAGCCGCTGAAACCTCACGTAAGCAACCTCCTTCTTGTTTGCTTCACCACTCCATTCCTTCTTGGGTCCTGGAGGGCTTGAGCACTTTTGTGACTGATTGCCTGGATTCAGTCTCTTCTGTTGAAACACTTGCCCTGTGCTCCTGATTGCACCCTGACTCATCCACAGCCCAGTAACAGGAGGGGGCTCAAAGACCAAGAAGACCAGTCAACTTTGACCTTCAGCTGGGTCATGGTGTCAGTGCCAGTGGCCAATTGGAAAATGGTTATTAGCATAAAGCCATAAAGCTGTAGCTTCACCCTGCCGTCATCAGCACAACTGTGGTGGCCTGGGGTGACAAACCCATTGGAAGGAAAGCTTTGGAGAGCACCTTCTGCACTGACCATTGAGGAACCAATGATGACAAAGCAGGGGGCTGCCACTGCTGACAGCAACTTGGAGAATTGTTTTTAAAGAAGAGACACAGAGCTGCAGCTATGACATATGACAGGAGAGAGGGGGCAGTCAGACTAGGGGAATGTCCTGTAGCAACCCTAAAATATCGTCACTCTCAGATCTGCTGGAAAACCCCCCCAAAATGTGATTCCTAGGGCTGGGGCTGGGGCTCAGTGGCAGAGTGCTAGCGTAGCAGGTGTGAGGCCCTGGGTTCCTCAACACCACACAAAAGGTAAGCAAATGAAATAAAGGTATTGTGTCCATTTATAACTAAAAATATAGATTTTTAAAATTTGATTCTTCAGGTTGCAGAATTATAAAGTGCCTTGAATTCACAGCCATATCGAACTTCTCCCATGAGAATTAGCATCGGTTGGAAATAAGTAGGACCCTGAGAATTGAAATGAGTCCATTTGCATAATTAAGAAGACCAGTTATTATGGTTTAGATATGAGGTGTCTCTGGAAAGCTCATGTGAGACAATACAAGAACGTTCAGAGATGAAAAGATTGGGTTATGAGAGTCTTAACCTAATTAGTGCATTAATCCACTCATAGGGACTAACGGGATGGTACCCATAGGAGGGTAGGGTGTGGCTGGAGGAGTGGGTCACTGGGGGTGTGCCTTTGCAGTAGATATTTGTCTCTGGTGAGTGGAGAACTCTGTGCTTCCTGGTAGTCATGTCCTGAGCTGATTTCCTCCACCATGCCCTTCTACCATGATGTTCTGCCTCACCTCAGGAGCAGAGTAACGGAGTTGGCCATCTACGGATGCAGACCTCTGAAACTGTGAGCCCCAAATAAACTTTTCCTCCTCTAAAATTGTTCTTGTCAGGTCTTTTGGTCAAAGTGACAGAAAAGTTGACTAAAACAGCAATCCTCCCTTGCTTCAGCCCCTGTGCTAAGTGTATCCCAGGAAGACACCTTGCGAAGAATTCTTGCATCCATGAGGGGCTGAACGCCATGTCTGATCTAAAAGGGAGACAGCTCACACACCCAAGGAATGGTGGGGTGGCATTAATGTACTCTATCAGCAGTCTGTGTCCCCGTTGGAAGGGGAAGAGGGGAGAGACAGTGGCCAAGGAAAAGCCTAAAAAAAAGCTCATGCACGAGTGATCTGAAGTCCATTTTATGGGTTCATTCTCTAGAATCAAGCTATTAAAATCCCACTTCGAGGAGGATGAGATCATCAGTTAAGGGCCTCTGCCACACACATCAGGCCAAGAGATGGGGAACTAGCTTCCCTAGCAGCAGGTTGACCTTGACTTAACTGCAGTGAGCCTGGAAGAAAGCCATTTGACCAAGCTGTCATATGGGATTTTAAATCTTATATGGTTTCCTAGCAATATTTATGTTTTAGGATAACATGGCTCATATTAGTTAGAGCCCTGGTTAGTTTGCTTTAAGAAAAAGTAATCCAGAGGATCAAATAAGAAAATTATTTCTCTCCTATGTAATAGGACAGGGTGGTTAACACAGAGCCTCCACGGTGATCCAACCAATGCCTTTTCCAGATTCTGGAAACAACTGTACTTAAATCGCCTGGAAATTATATTCTAAGTTTTACTCAGACCTCGGGTCACACTTAGATACAAAGTAGCCTACAGAATGTCATCTGTGGCTGAATAGCACTTGTGGGCTTAAACTCACTTGAAAAAAAACAGGTGCAAGCTGAAGTCTTTACCCGGTGTACTTCCCTCTAAGTCCAGCACCAATCCTTCCCCACACTGCGCTGCTGCCAGCTTTGGCTAACTGACCCAAGCCAGTGAGGTGAGAAAACCCACTTTCCCTGCTGAGTTAGGTAGGGATGGAAAAGAGCAAACAGGTGGTCACTGAAGCAGAGACTTTGAGAAGCAAGGTGAAGCGTGAGGACACGTGAGTTGGGGTAGGGGTCAACGACAGCAAATGAAAGGAGCTAGGAGAGCGTGCCGGGCATTATTCCCAACAAGGGCAGTCTAACTTGGCCAGATGTCCTGGGTTAAAGGAAACAAAGTCATTTTGTTGCAACCCAAGGGAATGTACCCTGTCACACGAAGACTCTCTAGGAGGTCAGAAATCTGATTCGAAGGCTGCTACACAGCCTGGAACGTCATCTAGATCACAACACTGAAGCATCCCAACGAAGAAGCCCGCTCCAGCCCGGGTCCAACCTCTAAATGGAACCATGAACCTGAGCTTCAGAGCTGCCTCAGGAAGCTGGGCAGGGCTCCTCCACCCACTCACCCAGAACTAGCCCCCTTCAGGCTTTCCTCTTCCACCTTGAAGTTCTGATAGGCTGAGACAGGTCACCTGCGATGCCTGGCTGCAAGGCCATCTGGGAAAGTGAGTTCCTGCTTTCCTGGAGGCCAGGACCGTAAGAGTTGTATCAGTCATCCACCCTTGGATTGCCAACTGTCCCAAAGCATGGTAGCCATGCATTTGCCACATTATCTTGGGCCTGCTTAATTTCTCTGTGCTTTGGTTTACAGAATTATAAGGAAGGGAAAGACACAGGACTTACTTAATAGGATTGTCATGAAGATAAACAGGTCTGTGTGGATGGCGCTTCAGATATGGAATGTGCCTTCCAGTCACAGGCTTTGCTGATGGAGAAATGAGTGGTTTAATGTGTCCTGTGACCTTGTAATGACACAGATCCACACAGACAATGTTTTTCAACATCGACAGTGACTTTAACAATCTACTTCAAGAAAACAAACTATGTGCATGAATTTTGGTCAGATATTTTCTTATACAAAGTGGGCAAATTTATTTATTTACTTGTTTTATTTTTGGTACTGTGGATTGAACCCAGGGGCACTTTACCATTGATCTATATATATATGCTTGACCTTCTTTTTTTTTTTTTTTTTTTTTTTTTGAGACAGGGTCATACAAAGTTGACCCTGGGGTTCGCACTAAGTTGCTAGGCTGGCCTCAAATTGGCAACCCTCTTGCCTCTACTTTCAGAGTTACTGAGATTATTGGTGTGTACCACCCTTCCTAGCTCTGGGACAGATATTTTGAGGTGGAATGGTGTTTTGGTGACCTTATGAGATTGGTGCTCATTGGAAACAGGATGAACCAAAATAATGGGGAGATGTTCCTTTGAGGCAAAGTACATGGAAAAACACTAGTTCTGCCTTTTTATCAAAACTGCAACTGGAGAGAGCTAGTATCTGGGAACACTGATTAAATGCTCTTGGGAGAAGCCTTTGGAAGGTACAACTCAAGGCTCAAGTGACCACCTATTGTAGACACCTCCCTTCTTCCCTTTCTACCTCCCTTCCTTCTTTTCTTGCTTGATTGGTTCAGGCTCTGGCTGCAGATTCCCTAACAATCTTTTTCCCCAACCCCTAGTTGAAACCCATAGTTGTCCTTAGAGATTTTTTTTTAATCTAAATGCACTGTATTCAACTACGACAAAGTTGTTAACTTAATCTTTAATGTAACTTTTTTTTATCACAACTGTAACACATTCCTTTTACGAATGTTTGAAACTCAAGTAAAAAGGAATAATTGTAACAACAAAAGATAATCCATCACACTGTGGGTCCAGGTACATATCTGTTCATTCCTCTGGTGAGACAGAACTTTCTGTGATCTTGAGAAAGGAAAAGAAGAACTTATGGACCACACAGGTCTTCTGCCCACCCTGACTGTCCTGCAGGTGAAGTGACATTTGGATTCATGTGCTGGCAGCTGAGAATAACCCACTATTTTAATGTAACAAGAGTTACCATTCAAAATATTTTCCTTCTAGACTTTTCCTTACTTTTACCATAGTTTTATATAATGGTAGCAACAATCGGGGTACGATCTTGAACTCTGCTTTCTCATTTAAAATTAAGTAGATCATAAATATTTCCATGTTTCATGTAATCTTCATAACTATAATATTGTTGCTGTATAATATACTTTTAAGTGGACTAGGTATAATTTTCTTGACACTTTGACTATTGTTTAAACGTTGGTTGTTTCTCATTTTTAACATTTGGCTTTAGCCTTTTAAAGAGTTGATCCAGGAGTCTATGTTTTAGATAGAAAGATAACCTGTGAGATGCCACCATCCCCCTGGGTCAACCTGTCCTGATTGCACCTCTTATCTCAGCATCAGAATTAATCAGGCTCCTCTCACTTTCAAACAATATTTACAACCAGAAAGAAGTTATACAATCACTGTTATTAGCCTGTTTTCTATTGCTACAATGAAATATCTGAAGCTGGGTAATTGTAAAGAAATGTGGTTTGTTTGGCTCACAGTTTGGGAGGCTGGAAGTACAGATAGCATGGCACCCGCTTTTCTGAGAGCTCCTCAGATGTGGCATATCATAGCAGGTAGCTCCTGGTGGAAGGAACAGGAGACTGCATGGGAAGACAGAAAGCCAAAGAGCAGGGAGGGCCAGTACTGACCTCCCACTAGGCCCCACCTCTTACAAGTTCTAACCCCAACCCTAACCCTAACCCTGGATGGATCTGAGGCGGAGCAGCTGGTAGGGCAGTTGATCAACAGCAAGTACAGGGTCTGGAGGCAGTGGGTCCCCATGTGCAGGTCCAGCTGAGCCTTCCTTCCCAGCACATGGCTGAGCTGGGCCAGCTGCAAGGCCTCTTTGAAATTCAGTTTCTTCACCATATTGATGAATCTGATAAAACCTGCGAGGCTTCCATGGAAGTTAAATAATAAAACACGGAATGACTGCTTCTCCTTCGATATCAGCTTTCAACCTTGTCTTATGCCCTTTCCTTATGTCAAATGAACTCACAGGACTTTGCAAGTAGACACTGTCATCTTCCCTCTCGCCCTATCTTAAATCACACATACACATTGCATAGGATAAGGTCACAAAATAAAAAGAAAGCCCCCTGAGATCAGGACACACAGACCCTGGGTGTGCTTCAGGTGAGAGTCCACTGCCCCTCAGGTCTGCTTTGTTACCACACTGCCTTCAATCACACCATCTGAACAACAAGGGATGCACCTGTCTCCTGGTCACTCCTTCTCCTTCACCACAAGTTCAACTCTCTCCTGTTAGACATCCCCAAGAGACAGGACCCCACATTCTCTAGGCCCAAAGCAGTGTTTTTTTTACAGTGAATTTTTCTAATGACTTGGAAAAAATGAAAATGTTAAAAGATATCAAATACAAAAAGTCAATACACTTTCCAGAGAAACTGGAAGAGTCTCCCGAAATTAAAAGCCAAACCTCCTAAGGGGTGGGGGTTAGAATTTAAGCCATTTCAGTTTTAGGTTCATGATGGTGTTTCCTGTGTGTCCTAGATTTCACCCTTGCACAGTGAAAGGGCCACGCACCACCGTGAATGTGCCAGAATTCTCAGGACCTTCCAGCTTCTGGGGGTCTGAACTCACTTTTTTTTTTATTTCACCAGATTAAAAATAAGATTTTCAGCGGGTTAATGAAAGAGAGGAAAGGGAGGACCCAGAGGCTCAGGTCGAAGGCAGAACTCCCGCTCCTCCAGCGGTGGTAAGGTCAGCCGCGAGTAGGGCACTCCGGGGCGCAGACCCGGCTGCTCGCGGCTCCGGGGGTCTGATGTGCTTCTCCGCAGCTGAAAACGAGCCACTGGGCACACGGCTTGACGGTCCCTTCCTCCGGAGACCTGCCGCAGAACACTCAACCTCAGGCAGGAGGAGTGGAGCGGGCCAAGGAGGGGGAATGAGCTAGCGAAACGTCCACCTTTACCGGAGTCGTGACTCCAGGGTCCGTTCTTTAGGAGGTTTGCGGCTGGCATCCCGCCCCCCCGCCCCCCGCTAACCCTGATTCTTTGAAGGATCCTTATGAAAAGTGTCCCGCCGCGGGTTTCTGGCCCCGACCGCCCAAATCGACTATGCGGGAACACTGGTCTCCATCTGAAGGAATCAATAAACAGGTTGCTCTCGGCCCTTCCCCTCTGGGCTGCTGTAAGGAGGTTAAATGGGGCCTGCGGCTCGGGCTGGGGTCCACAGCCATCCCGGATTCGGCACAGACCGACCCGTGGCCTCGCAGACCCCTTGAGGGCGCGCAGACAGTCCCCTCCCCGCGAGCCCCTCCC